AAAATTTCGAAGGAATGAAAAAATGTATATAAGATTTTGTTTTTGTTTTTCTCCCCCCTTCTCCTGCCTTCGTTTTATAAATCCGTTGGATTTTATTATCATTATTAATAAAGTCGTCGGGGGGGCATAGGGGAGGGGAGGAAAAGATGTGGGGGGAGAGAGAATTTACAAAAAATAAAAAATTTTTTTCGACCTTTTTTTATTTTTCCTCCGAAAACGAAAATTTTTAATAACAACGACGACGACGACAACGATGATGATGATGGAAATAATAATAATAATAATAATAACAATGACGACACGGGATTTATTTTTCACGTCATTCGTATCGGCTTATTATTATTATTATTATTATTATTATTATTATTATTATTTTATATTTATTTTCGTTAAAGTGTTTTTATGTTTTTTTTTTTTTTATTATAGAGATTTTTTACGACGACGACGATGACGATAATGATGATAAATTTTTAATATTTTTTTCTGTTATAAGAGAAAATCAAAATTTTTTTTGAAATGCGTTATAATTTTAAAGGTGGGGGGAGGGAAATTTATTAGGGAGCGATGGGGAGGGAAGGAGGGGATTGGATAATTTATAATAATTTTTTATATGAAATGAAAAACAATTTTTACTTTTTTTTTATTAAAAAGGGCATTTAAATTCCGCTTTAAAAAAAATTAATTATTATTATTATTATTATTATTATTATTGAGAGAAAATCACTTTTCTAGAATTTTCTTTTTTATTATTAACTTAAAAATCGTTTGACGACGATAAGAAAACGAAAAAAAAAAATTAAAAACAATTAAAAACGAAGTTAAAAAATAAAAAAAATTTTTTTTTTGTTTTTACAAAAATAATAATAATAATAATAATAATAAAGTTTTCCTTTTTTTCCTTTTTTTTTGTTTTTTTTTTGTTTGTCAAAGTTTAATTAAAGTGTGCGTGAAAGACAACAAAAACAACAACAAAAACAACAACGACAAATTTTTTTGTTTTTTTTTTTTTTTTGACGATAATATGAAATTTACACTCGTGCCACGTACTTTTTATCATCATCGATTCTTTTTACCGACATTTTTTTTTTTTTTCACGTTTACATTTTTTCCTTTTTCTTTTTTCTTTTTTTCACATGAATGTTTTTCTTTAACACAAAAGGAAAGGAAAAGAAAGAACATAATAATGACGTCATTGATAAAATTTTCTTTTACTTCACGGGAAAGAAAAAAAAGGGGGGGGGGAAAAAAAATTCAAATTTAATTTATTTTTTTCCCGTCGAAAAAAAATTTTTCCTTTTTTATCCATATGACATTCCTTTGGCATTCCATTGACTTCCTTTTTTTTTTAAGGTTATAAATTATTATAAATTTGGCTATTCATTGAAAATTTAAAAAAGAAAAAAGAAAAAAATTTATAGAACGGCGTAAATTTTTTCGTATTCTTTTTTTTCCCCCATATAATTCACGGACTAATAATTTTTTAAATGATAATAATAATAATAATAATAATAATAATGATTTTAAAAGGTAAATTTTTTTCTACTTCCTGAACTCGATGTGAGTTTTTCTAAAAAAAAAATGGAGTCGATGAAAGTTTTTAAGTGTAAATCAAACGTCATAACCATAAACAATGTACGAGAAACTATGATTGATAAAAACCGTGAAAAAAGTTATAAAAAAAAAACACTGTTGAAGCAAAATAAATTTTCAAAAAGAGTGAGACAGAGAGAGAGAGAGAGAGAAGATAGATGAATATGTGGGGGGTGGAAAAAAAATGGCTAACTTGCACCTGACAGGTTGTGTGAAAAATTAAAAAAAAAAAAATTTCATTAAATAATCAACGAAAAGTCATTTAATACGAATGAAATTTTTAAAATCAATAATAATATTGATAATATAATTTAATTCCCTCCATATTTAATTTGCTGATTGAATTTAATTTTTCAAAATACCCGTTTCCCCCTTTCCCCTCCTACTCTCCCTCCCTTTCATACTACCCTACGAACCCGTGTATAAAAATTCATTTTTCAAAATCTTCTCCTCCTCCTCCTCCTCCCTCCTTTTATTTTGCAAAAATTTTTTTTTTTTACGAAAAAAAAAAAAAAATTCAATTTGATAAATTAAAAAAGAAAACGAGAACGGTTTTGATTGGTCGGATCGTTCGATCGGATACAAAAAATAATTCATTTTATTATCATCATCATCATCATCATTATTATTATTATTTTCACGTAAAAAAAAATTTACCGTAATTTAAACTCGCGTAAAACTTTATAACGTTTACATACATATAAATTTCGTTGTTAATAATGATAATAATACTTTAGTTATAAATTTTTTTTTTTTTTTTAATAATAAATTCAAACTTTTTCCGAACCTTTTTAAATTTGTGTTGAAATAATGTTAACCTTATACCTTACGTAAAAAAAAAAAAGGTTTTTCACAGTAAGTTTTCCTTATTTAAAATTGTTTTTACCTCACTCGAAATAATATAACTTTAACATTTTTTTTTTTTTTTTATTTAATCAACAAGAAGACGGACAAACGGTTTTGTTGGAACCCCCTCCCCCTCCCCCTCTCTCTAAAAAAAAAAATTATAAACTTTTTGAGATGTTAGAAATTTACAAAAATGAATCATAATAATAATAATGATAATAATAGTATTAAAATTAAAAACTTTTTGTATTATATAAAAAAAAAAAAGTTTTTCTATTATTTTACATTTAACAAAAAAAAAAAATTTTTTAATTTATCTCATTATTATTATTATTATTAAAAGTCTAATTTTTTTCTTTTTTTTAATTAATTTAAAATCCGTTCGGATAAGTAAAAAAAAAAAATTGAAATTGGCTTTGTTTGTTTGTTGTTTGTTCGTTTGTTTTTTTATTTTTTAAAATATAAAAATATTAAATGGTGCTTGATTGTAAAACAGCAGAAGACAAATAATAATAAAAAAAATTGTATCGATATAATTTAAACAAAGGTTTAATTAAGTTATTTATTAACTATTACTATTACTATTATTATTATTATTATTATTATTATTATTATCTTAATAAAATTAAAACAAGTTTTTACTCTCATTAAAGTTTTTATACTCTCAGAAGAAAATTTAAAAGTGAATAGGTAAATTAAGAAAAATTTTTTTTTTCCCCCATAAAAATTTAATATTCGGAATGAAAAAGGAATAGACAAAAAGGTTTAAAAAAGGTATACGAATAAGGTTTATAAAAGGTATCGATCGATTTAAGGTTATATAAATAAACAGGAAATAATTATTCTTGTACTTAACGAGATTATAGTTGAACCACTTTCATTCGAATACAGAGTTTTCAATTTTTTTTTTGTTTTTCTTCCGACTCTACCCCATTTTCTTCCTCCGTCCCCCTTTCCCCGTGATTTTCTTCGATAAGACCCCCAAAGGGTAAAGAAAAGGTCCTTTTTAAAATACACATCTTTAAAATATCTTAGATGAATATAAAATTTTCCGAGAAAACCAGACTAAATATTATTTTTCGAAACAAAAAAAAAAAAAAAATTTTTTTTTAAAAGGAAAATTATTAATTATGAATTTCTTTAAAAACAAAATGGCGTCGCCTTTGGTTCGGCTAATTAGAAAACATCGATAATCAAAATAATTAGGTGGAAAGTATAAGGAGGAGGGAGGAGGAGGAGGTGGAGGAATGTATGTTTATAAGTATGAGGTGAGGGGGCGGGGCTTGTAAAAAAAAAGAAGGAGGAGGAGGAGACTGAGATGGTGGTTTAGGCAAGCGAGAGAAAAAAAAAATTTTTAAACCTTCTTTTTTTTTAATATATTAAACAAATTGTTATTATTATTATTATTATTATTATAAAGGCAAAAAAATTACGGTAATATTAATATGAATTAATCGGTCATAATTATAATTAATTAACCTCATTTAAAAATTAATAATAATAATAATAATTTTTTTCCCTTCTTTTATTTATTTTTTTGTAAAAAAAAAAAATTTTTTTTTACATTAAATTAATATTTAAAATTGATTAATCATTCATTCATTCATTCATTCAGTGATCCATTCATTCATTCATTCGTTCGATTTATTTATAATTTATTCGGCTTTATTAAGGGTAATTTTTTTTTTTGTCAAGATTAACAAAAAAAAAACGGAAATTTCACGGAATGAGCCGATTCATTATAACCATGAACACAATAGAAAAAATTAAACATAAAAAAAAAAATTTAAACAAACGTTTGTCTAACAAAAAAATTAATTAATTAATTAATTAAATAATCTATCGTTAATTTATTATCGGTCGTGTTTTTTTTTTCTCTGCTGTAATCGAGATCTGGTTAAAAAAAAAAAAATACACGAGGAAAAAAAGGAAAAAAAAAAAAAAGAAAATTTTTTAATTTAAATAAAATTAAATAAGGTGTGTGTGTGTGTGTATATGCTAAAAGTAATAAAATATTTATTACCCTTTTTTCTACCCCTCCCCTTCCCCTGTCCTCTCCTCTCCTTCTCCTTCTTTTCCTCCTCTCCTACCCCCTGTTCGCCTTTTTTTTTTTTTAATTTTTTTTCTTCCTTTCCGTTTGTTTGTTTTTTTTTATTTTGACTTTTCCAGATGCTTAGGGAAATAAAAGGTAGTTATAAAACATGAAAAGGGATTTAAATTTTTGTATTTTCCAAAGAAAGGTATTGTTAGACAAAGAGGAAAAATATTCATTAATTTGATATGAAGTAAAAAAGAAAATAAGCCTGTTGGCAAATTTAAATTAATAACAAAGCTTTTGTTATTGCCGCCCCCTCCCAACGAAAAAAAAAAAAATTTTACAACTTAAAGAAAATATGAATTGGAAAAGAAAAAAAAAAAGAAAAACCCTCGATTTTTTTATAAAAGTTTTCTTTTTTTAAACAAAAGAAAATTTATATAGATATAATAAGAAAATTAAAAGATTTATAGCAAAAATGTTTTTGTATTAACATTGTGTTTTTTTTTGTTTGTTTTCGTGGTTTTAGAAAATTGTTACAATCAACGATAAGAGCAAATAAAACAGGACATTTTATGTGGATAGGAAGTGATTCATGGGGAGCCAAAAATTATCCAGTTAGAGATCAAGAATCTGCTGCCGAGGGTGCAATAACAATATTACCTAGGAGAACGGCTTTAGTTGGTGAGTTTTATTTTTTTTTTTGTCCAAAAAATTGTCCAGGGAATTTTTGATTTTTTTGAAACCATAAAAAAAAAAGATTTTTTCATTTTCTCGGGTTTTTTTTTATACCCCCATTCATAAAACGTGACCTTCTTTCCTTTGAGAAATTTCTTTTTCCTTTTTTTTTCTTTTTTTTTTGCGTTTGAAGCAATTTTTAAATAAAAAAAGAAATCTGTCTGCCATTTTATTCTGTTATCTACTTTATTCTTAAATGATTTATTACTGGAATCAAATTATACCCAACATTATTATTATTATTTTTTTTTTCCATTGACTTTTTGGAGAAAAAACCGGATAAAAAACTTTTGTCATATTTATTTATTTTTTTTATTCTTATTTACAACCATCAAATTTTATTCGCGTGAAATGATAATGATGATGATAATAAATGTTAATTTATAACGCTGTAAAAAAAAAAAAATTTATCCGGAAGTGACGAAAGCAAAAAAAAATGTCGCAAACAATAAAAGTTTTTTTAAAAAAATTTTCCACGACTTTTCCCACATGCGTCCATTTTATATAAATTCGTGGATGTGACATTTTAAAAACAAAAAATTTTTTTTTTTTTACTTTACGTTACGTTAAATTTTCTTCTTTTTTTTGTTGTTATATTAACAAACACATACATTTAATTTTAAACGTGGAAAAAAATAAATAAATAAATATTATATTAATCGTCTAATGCCACGTTCGATCCAATAAATCATATTTCGATTCGTAAACGAACAACGATTTTGTAAGAAATAATAAAATTTTATTTTATTTTAATTTTTAATTAAATAAAACAATTTTATTAATTATTAATTAATAAGCAATTTTTTCCACGTTTAAAAAATTTATCATTATCATTATTATTATTATTTAACTTTTAAAAAGTTTCTAATAAAAACATTAACAAAAATAAATAAATAAAATACGTTTTCACTCTTTAAAAAAGAAAAAACAAAAAAAAATTCCTTTATTTTAGTTTCATTTTTTTTCTTCCGGTTTTTAACGTCATTTCCGTTAAATAAAAATAATAATAATTAAACGATATTTAATATTGTTTAATTTTTAATTGTTTTATATTATTATTTATTAATAATAGTAATAATAAAATTTATTTCTCTACAACAATAAATTAAATAAAAAGTTTTTCTTTTTATTTATGTTTATGACGTCATCGGTATGCTTTCGACCCCCTCGTAAAACAAAAAAAAATTAAAAAATAATTATTAGGGAGTAATTAAAAAATATTTATTTAATTCACATCCGGTCACGTATTTTCTCGTTCCACTTTGTTTTTTTTTCCGTGCGAATTATTTTTTTAAGGTGTTTCTCGTAAATTAATTTTTTTTTTTTTTTTTTACCATCTTGAGAATAATAATTACTCGAGTAATTTTCACACTCGCTCCCACATTTAAAAAAAATTACTAATGACGTATCAAAGTCAATCAGTAAGTGATAAATAATTACCCCGGTGATAAAAAAAAAAAAAAAGAAAATTATTTTTTTCTATCACACTGAAAAATTACCCTAGACGTCGTCAAACCTTTTCCCTTCCTCCTCCCCTCCTCTCTCCTTCCACTTCTCCTCTTTCCCTTTCTCCACTTTGTACCCCCCCCCCGTTTTCCTTTTTATTCCACTTCCAATTTTTTTTTTTGTTTTTCACAAAATTCCATACGAAAAAAAAAATTTTCTATTTTTTATTTGTAATAATTTAATAATAAAATATTAATTACGTAATTATTTATTAATAATAATAATAATAATAATAATTTACGAAAAGGGAGACAGATAATAAATTATTTATTATTAATGATGATTTATTTCCGGTTTTTGTAATTTTTTCCCGCGCGCGCGCGCTCCCGTTTTTCCCCTCGTTAAATTTATTATGGTTTCTAAAAAAAAAAAGAAAATTTTTTTTTAGGAATAAAATAAAAAATTATTTGAGCGTCGAATGAATTTAAATAATAAAATCAATAATAATAATAATAATGATTTGATGATAAAAAAAAAAAAATTACGTCATTTTATTTTGCTTATTAGGTAATAATTATCGTAATTTATTATTCAAGAGTAATAAATTTTCGTTAATGTTAAAAAATAAAATAAAATAAATTTTTTTTTTTAAATGCGAGTTCTTCGAGTCAAATTTATTAATTAATTACGTAATAAAACTTTGGTAATTTTTTTTTTTGATAATAACGGTTATCATTATCATTATTATTATTATTATTCAAAATTCAAACAAACAAGAAAAAAAAAAAGGAAAATTTTTTTTTAAGCGTAATCAACAAGTTGATTACCGAAATAATTATAATAATAATAAAACGCCGTTCTAATTAATGCATTTTGGTTTTTTTTTAAAAAAAAAACAGAAAAAATTGGGGGTAGTGGCGGTGGCGGTGGGGGGGGGTAGGCGGCAGCGCTAACCGCCGTAATTTTTATGTCATTTTTTATGAATTCGGATAAACTATTTATTAAATGAAAAAAAAAAAAAAAAGATTTCAGGAGATGATAAATTTATTTAATGGAGTTTTACTGTTATAATGGTATTTTTATTATTTACATTATTTAAGATGGGAAAAAGTTTAAGAGATAAATGGGAATGGAATGAGGGAAGAGAGAGAGAGAGAGAGAGAGAGAGAGAGAGGAAAAACGTAGCAGAAGAAAAAAATAATTAATTATTCTAAATAAAAAGGCAAAAAAAATTTTTCTTTTTTTTTGCAAAAAAAAAATTTTAATTCGATTAAAATAATAATAATTTTTTTTTGAATATTATTCGGTTGTTGTTGTTGTTTGTCGGTTGTTGCGGTTTGTTCGTTTTTTTTTTTTTTCGTTTCGTTCGGTAAGAAAAGCAAACAAAAATAAATGAAAGGATGTTATTATGTTATTTAATTAAAATTTTTTAATAATAATCTATCTTATAATGGATTTTTTAAAATAAAAAAAAATTTTTTTTCATGATGACGATAATAAAATTTTCTCCAGTTTCTCCAGTTTTTTTGCGAGCGTACGAGATAATTTTTTTTTTTTTATAACATGTATTTTTTTTTTCTTTTCCAGAATTCGATAAATATTTTACATCTTTGAGACCGAAAATGAACGAGAATTCGTGTAACGAATCATCGGGTAAAAATATAAAAACCTCTGGAAAAGATACGTTGATTAATTGCAGAAACGTATGGTTTAGAGAATTTTGGAGCCAGCATCATAAATGTTATTTTGATACTGGAAACGTTATGGATTTACCACCGGAAATTGATAAGATGTGTACTGGAGAAGAAAAATTACAAAATTACGAAGAGGAAGGTTTAGTGCCATTTGTCGGTAAGTATCAAAACTTTTTTTTTTCCCTTCACTCTTTTGACTTTTTTTCTCTTCCCTCCTCCCCCTCTTACCCTCTCGTTTATTATCGTTTTTCTTCTTATCAATAATGAATAATTAATAGAAATTATATAAGTATAATTAAAGTTATAAATTATGCGAATCGAAAACCAAAAAAAAAAAAAAAAAAAAAAAAAAGCAAATTTTTTTTGCAATTAATCCGAGAACGAAAAGAGTTTCCGGTTTTTAACCTTTTTTTTTCATTCTCTCTTCTCGCTCTTCTTCTTTCCCTCCTCCCTTTTATTTTTTAATCTGCATCCACGTTTTACAAGTAATAAATTATTCTAGAAGGTTTTAAATGATTTTATACTCATTTATATAAATATATAGATATAGGAGGAGGATGTAAAAGAGAATCGTAGCTGTCGGTTAATGGGAGAGGAGGAAATACAAAAAAAAAAAGGAAATATTCCTTTTGCAAAAGTTTTTTTTTTTTTTTTACAAATGATGTTAAAAGGAAAAAAGTAAATGGAAAGAGAGATAGAGAGAAAGAACGACGGAAAAAAAAGAGGAGAAGGGGAAGGATTAAAACTTTAATTTTATTTTTTTTTGTTTGTGCGACGGTTGGCGTAACAAAAATTTTCATGTTCGTTTCAACAACGAGAGAAATACGTTTCTCCCTATTCTATTATTTATTTTCAACATCTATTTAACTAATTCATTTTATTAGCAAACATTCATTCTAAAAACTAACTTCATCATTCATTCATTCATTCATTCATTCATTCTTTCGGTCGGTCGGACGGACGGACGGTCGGTCTGTCGGTCGTTTACCACTATAATTCGTAAATTATTCATTTAATCTATCTTGGTCTCTAACCGCGTTTAATTCTTTTGTTAAAAAAAAAAAGTATTTCAATTAACTAATGCACCTTTATAATAAATTTAACGTTTTATTTAAAAAAAGAAAAACAATAATAATAATAATAATGATAAACAAATGAGGAAACGCACACCAAACACGATGGTGTGTGTGTGTGTGTGTGTGTGTGTGTCGTAATTATTATCGTAATTGAAATTTTAATAAATTAAAAAAAAGTTGATTTAATTTTTTTTACTTTTTCTTCTTCTTCCACCTTCTCCTCCTCCCTCTCTACTTCCCTCTACTCTCCTCTCCTCTCTCAAACGTAATGTTTCGTGCAATAAACAATAGCAAATTATGATCGAGAGAAAGAAAAAAATAACAATAATAATAATATTTAATTAAATATTATCAGATTTCCCGCCATTTTTTTTTTTTAAATAAAGTTTAAGATTTTATTTCTCACGTTTAAGTTTCAAGTTTTTTTTTTCTTTCTCACAAACTATTAAATTTATAGTAATAAAAATAAAATAAAAATAGAAGAGATTTAAAAAAAAAAAAAAAAAAAAAAATTTCATTTTTACTATTTTCAATTTTTTCCTTTTTTTTTTTATTTTTTATTTTATTTTATTTTCTATTAAATTTTAATCCTTTTCATTTTTTATGGTTTTTTGACCTTTTTTACTCTCTATTTTCTTCATTCTCCTTCCCCCTTCCCACCTCCCCCTACCCCACTCCATCCTCCGCCGTATGAGTATATATGATCGAATAAAGAGTGGAAAATTGTTTCGATAGAAAATCTCCTTTTACAGCCTCTTAATTTTTCTTTTCTTTCTTTTATTCCCCCCTCCCTCCGATTCTCATTTTTATTTTTTCATCGTTTTATTAACATGTTTCTTTTTTTCTTTTTTAAATTTAAAACTTTGTCAAAGAGAGAGAAAGAGAGAGAGGAGGGAAACACTTAAGGAGGAAATTTGAGAGAAAACGAGAAAGAATGAGAAGAGTGTATAGAAAAAATCAGAAAGAAACGAATAAAGAAAAGAATGAGAGAGAAAGAGAGAGAGAGGGGAAATAAAAAAAAATGATAAGAGAGAAAAAGAGAGAGAGAGAGAGAGGAAAGAGTAACGGTAAAAAATAAAACGGTTGATAAATAATGATTTATATTATTATTGTCAAATAAAAACAAAAAAAAGAAAAAAAATATTACCGATTCAAAATTGCGTTTTTTTTTTATCAGGTTGGTAACATTTTTCATTTTTATTCTCATAACCTCCCTCACCCCTCCCCGTAAAAATTTTAATTTATTTTTTTAATAATTAATTTAAATAATTTAACGGGCAAAAAAAAAAAATTTATTTGGTGTTTTTGCATAAAAATTTAAAAAGATAATTTTAGAGAAATGAGAGAGACAGAGAGAGAGAGAAAGAGAGAGATGATGTAACTATTAAGATAATTTCGAAATTTATTCATAATAATAATAATAATAAAAAAATAATAATAATAATTTTAACGCTTCGTAATTAAAACGTTTTGTTTTTTTTGGATTAAAAAAAAAAAAATTTGTTTTGTTTTCACCGATCTTATCATTTTACGTCACACACACGCACGCACACACACATTATCACTAATAATGAGGTCACAAAAAAATGAATGATGATAATGATTATATTATGACGTTGATTTTTTTTTTTTTTTATAAAAACTTTATTAAAAAAAAAAATGAAAAAAAAAAAAAAAAAATTTTAAATGCCGATATTAAAGTAATAAATAATCAAGATCGCATCAATTTAACAACGTAATTCAAAACGCCATTTTGTTTTTTTTTTTTTTTTTCGGAAAATCGATTTTCGTTTGAAGAATGATGAATACAATGAAATGAATATATTCATTTTTTAACAATGAAGACATCTTCTTCTCCTTTTTCTTTCTTTATTCTTTAAAAAAAAAAAAAATTACGAATTGAATTCTAAAGTTAAAAAACTTTTATAAAAAAAAAAAAAAAAAATGAAAAATAAAAGACGAGAGTAAAAAAAAAATTTTAGTTATGAAAAAAAAAGTAAAATAATAAAAGGCGTTTTTTTTTTTTTTTTTTTTTTTAAGAAAAAAAGTTTTGAAACGTTAATAAATAATTTAAGAAGAAAAAGAAAAACTAAAAATTTATCCAGGATTCAAACGAAATATTTAAATTCTATTTAAAAAGAAAATTTTCTTTACGATACTCGCATAAAACAATACATATTCGATAATAAAATTAATATAAGTTGACAAGGTCGAATATAATAAAATCAATATAAAAAAAATTTTTCTTACGAATCGATTTTTTATTTTTTTTTATCATCATGTTGTCGTTGATTGATTTTTTTTTTTTTTTTTTTTTAAAGGACCTTTTACCTTTTTTCCTTTTTTTTTCCAGAAAAAAATTCCCGACTTAGATGAATGAGAGTTTCTTACGAATGATTTAGAAAGAAAGTTTTTTTTTTTTTTAGCTATTACTTAATCAACCTTTTCAATTTAAAAAAAAAAAAATTTTCTTATTTGCTTTCATGCAAAAAAAAAATTTTTTTTTTTATTTGTTTTTTTTTTTTTCTAGATTTTTCTTTCGTTTATCGTTTTCGATTTTTTTAGTTTTTTGAATAAATTTGTTTGTTTATAAAAATGGAGGATAAAGAATGATAAATTGAGTTTTAAATAAAAAAGAC